ATTTTGTTTATCATCATAAACTTTGGTAATAGTACCTGGTCACTTAAATACGCCCTTTATTATAGCTATTAAAGAGAAATTTACTTTAGTATTGCAGTCAAAAAGACTTATCCGGAATAATATCATAAAGATATTGCTTATTTTCTTCAGTTATAATTTGGGAATAACATTATAGCAGTGTTGATAGTAATAAAAATTGTGCTTTTGAAGTTAAAATATGTGTGAAAGTTATATTCCTCTGGTGCCTTATCTGTACTCAATACAACAACACCTTTTCCTGATTGTGTTGTTTTAGAAGAGCAGTCTCAGACAACTTCTACTAGTCATTATATTAGTAGATTATCCTCTTCCAGCTCTGTATAACCCTTGTTGGGTTATAAGTTCTACAGCGTTTGGTTTCCTCTAAGGGTGTAACCGTGCGTATAATCCTCTCATTTAGGGTTTCATGTGTGGTAGAATATATATCAGGTGAGCTATTTTGCCTATGACTGTGTCTGCATGTGTGAGGCTCCAAGGTTCTACGCCTTCTAACATTTTATTTATTGACTCCAGTCTTTCTTTCAACTCTTCCTCTGGTAATCTAACCGACTTTTTGATGCTGTTTCAAATGAACCCTAAGTAATTTTGTTTGTCTGCAAAGTCATGAAGTTTTTTGATATTTGTCTTCACTCCCATTTTGGCACTCATTTCCACTACACTTTGTATTTGTAAGTCACTTCCTTTTTCTCATACTATCATCTTGTCATCCACCTATCTGAAGACTTGGTCTATTTTCAGGTGCCTTTGAATGATCATCCTCCACATGTCTGCCACTCAACCAAATGTTCCACACCAGGCTACCCCGCCGAATGGTACTCTTGTGTCTATCCAGATCATTCCGTTAAAGTCTTTGATCGTAAGATATTTCCATTCTTCTATTTTCACCGCTGCTTGTCCATAAGCCTTCTCCCAGTGATATATAGCTAACTCTAATGCTCTTTTAAAATTTTCCCTAAAGTAAGTAGCTACGGCCTGAAAGTTGTCACAAGATGTGTCGAAGTTGTGTTTGTCAACCATTGAGTTGACTGATGGAGTCCCTTCTACACCTACTGGGAATGATAAGCCGTTTATCATTCTCAGAGTACCATCATTGTTCACCACGCTCCCCATTGGGTTTGAGCGGAAGAAGCCCCACTTGGCGTATACTTCTTTGTGTCCAAAAGGTCCGTAGATGTGTCCTGCTCTCTTCTCTGTATACAAATTGTTCATTATTTCTTCTTTGACCACAAGTGCAGAAGGGTGTCTCCCACCTTCTGTTACTCAAATAGTGTTCGGGGATCCCTTGTGAGAACCCTTCTATCAGGCCGTTAATGACTTCCGCTGCCTTGTTCTCCAAACCACAATTTTTTGCCAACCGTATCCATTCCTCTACTACCAGTTCTGGTCTGGCTTTAACCGGGAGGGTAAGTAATTGGTTGTGGCTCTCGTTGTCTACGGGGAGGTTCATGTTCTCTGTCACGGTTCCTTCGTTGATCTGTAGGTCTTTTGGAGGTGTTTCTTGTCTTTGATGAGACAAGTTACTCATGGGACTGTGGATTGCAAACAATTCTCTCAGCTCTCAGTTGTCTATTATGTTAAGGAAAGTGGCACAAGTGGACTTGGTATCATTGGGTTTCCCCTTTTTATTTCAAAGAAAAGACAAAAACATTTTCCCGATGGGTAGAATTAAAGGCAATCACAATATTTCTAACTCACAGTTGGGCGCTACTACTATTTGCTTGTGCCGTTTTCAACGCCTCAAAGGCTCCTGGCCCAAACTTCGGTACCATGATTCCATTCACTAAAGTTGTAGCACTTGGAACCATACCACCACCACCTCTCACACTTGGACCACCTCCTCTCATGGTGTTTCCTCGTCCTCCACCACGACCTCTTTGTCCTCTACCTCTAGCTCCGTTGCTTCCTCCTTTGTGGTTATCAAAAGTGAAGCTGGTTCTTGGATTATCGTGGTAGGTTTGATTTTGCTGTCTCCCGTTTTTGTGATAGCTAGTGTTGTTGGCAAAAGGGGCTCTAACTTGGTTTCTACCTGTTGGCGCAAGATGTGACAACATTCTTCTGCCGGTCACCGCCGTCACTTGTTCCATGCCATTTGAGTTGGTTATGTCCCAACATACTTGGTACTTCCCTGTCCACGGGCATGATGTACGGAATCACTGTTTGCTTTAGAATCCGACCAAGCTTGCTCCATCAATTCCTCATTGACTGTGCCAACATCTGACAATGACCCGTCTTCTAAAGTGTGGCTCCACACGTTCATCCGGTGAGTTATGTCATATCTGAGAGCAGGTGCCCAGGCTTTGTGATGTTTTGCTTTCATCTCTAACCAAGTCTGGCTCGCCGCGCTACCCAGCGCTGTGGTGAGCAAGATCTCTACTTAAGCAAAAAAAATTAAAAATTATGTGGAAACTCGAGTTTTTGGTCAAAGGCACTATTATTATTGAGGTTGTTAGTCATCAAGGTTAAAAAGATGATTCATTATTTTCATTTCATTATCTTTCAGAATATATATTTACATAAGCAATTGATAAGATCATTTAAGAGCAAAGAAAAATTCGAAAAGATCAATAAAAATAGTAAAAGAGTGAAAATCATATTAAGAGAATTAGTAAGAAGGGATTTGAGGAAGAAGAACATTTAGTTTGGATCTTTAAGAATGGAAACTGTTATGAAAAGAATGAAAGAGGAAGAAGAATATAAAGCAAGTTGGAGAAAAATTCGAAAATATGGGTATGAAAGCTTGGAAAGTGGTTTTTAGCTTATTAATAGAAGAGATATTAGTTCAGGAAGGTTTTATTGTGAAAGAGAAGGATCACATTAGTCATCAACAACTTTAATCATGAGGATTGATAAGGGAGGTGTGAAGTTATTCAAGAAAAGGGAAATTTCGAAGAAGGGTACTATGGTATTAATTCCTGTGTAGTGATGTCATTGATGGATTGGTTGCGCCAAGAGTTTTTCAGAAGGATTTTAGTGCTGTGTGATTGAGTGGAGCACTGTGGAATGATCTTTTGATAGAAGGAAAATCATTATTAGATGTGAAAATAGTCAAAATTCATCAAAAATGGGAGTTTTTAGTTAATTACATATGGTAAAACTTGTCAGAATTGGGTGTGTGGAAAGCGATGGTGTGGCGTGTAGAAAAACCCGCTAAGCTCAGTAGTGTTAGCGGTAGTTGGCAAGTTTGGGTGCCAAAAAAAAGTAGCTCATAGCGTAATTCTTATTCGCAGCGCTACCAGCGTTACTGACCCTAAAAACAATTTTTATGTCAAAAAAGGAAAAAAAATGTAAAAACAACTTGTGGTTTGAAGGAGTGTAAAGAAAAAGTAAAGTAAAGTTGTAAACGATTGTAATGAAAAGGTTATAAGTAAGATAAAATTGTAAACGATAGAGAAAATATAAGTCAAAATCAAGTTGAAACATAAGTCTTTCTGGGTTTTTTCATTATCACCTTCTTGGCAAACTCAATCACCTTTCCAACCTCTGCAAAATCACCAGTAAGAGGTACCCCTTCTCCCATCCATAAATTACTACAGACCAAGATCTCGGTCATTCAAGGCTTTAATCCACCTCGCTCATCAGTGCAAATCCGGCCTGCAATTGAGAAAGATCTCTCTGGGGGAGATGAAGCCGCTGGAGTGGAAAGGTAGTCACAAGCTAAGACAGATAGTACAGGATATTTGCCATGATGAGACTGTGAGGCAAGGATCATCAGTAAGGGGATGATCATAAATGACAATGAAAAAAAGACAGATGACTAGGACTTACCCTCCACCAATCCAGAGCATGTTGAGGATTGTTGACGTTAGGTGATTTCATCGGATCAATTTCTTGAATGTATCGAGCCAACTCATTGAGGTTATCTTGAGTTGAAACTTTGTTATAAAAATCGAGGTAAGTAGGATCAAACATCTTGGGAGGCAAATCACCGTGGACTGAAGATGTGTTGACTGGTTCAAAGTCAATTGAGTCTGCTTGGCGGTCATGCTCAGATTTAAATGCTACCTCCAGTAACGCTTCGGCTCGTTCATGTTCAGGAGAGCCCTCTCCAAATGCACAAGAGAAAAATCACAGACGTACCCCAGGGTGAAAAACAGCGGCAAGGACCAAGGTATTGCAATCAAGTGCTTTGTCAAGATACAGCTTGATCTTCTTGAGCATGATGTCAACCATCAGGTAAAGAGGGTCGTTCAAGTGAATTGTCTTCAATTGATCCTCCTTGGACGACTTAAGCTGTACATACTTTACCAGAACCATGCAACCTGTAGGCGTATTGCCTTCCATCTCACGAGTTAAAAACTTGAAAGGCTATGAGGTAGATGTCAAGAGTCAGTATGAGGTCATAGAAATAGAGCTTGAATATTTGATTCTGAAACACTTACGGTGAGGATATCTAACATATCCCTCAGGGCTTGCCAATCTGCAACTGAAAACACGACTTCTTCAAAGTATCCATGCCGCTTGCCATCCTTTCTTGGCCGGCGCTTCTTGGAATGGACCTCTCGTAATTCGTCCCTCATAACTCCATCAATCAACTGAAGAATGAATTTAATTAGTTAGCACATCAATTCACAAGAAGAGCGTAATGAAGGATGACTTACATCCTTAGCTTCCCACATGCGCTCCCATTGCTCAGCTCAAATACCCCAACGGATCCCATGGCCAGATAGAAGGGCCTTCAAGGGACGCAACTTTTCTTTTTTGCGTTCAAGATTTTCACGTTCGCATCGTCGATTGAAATTGGCACGGTGGGCGCTTGATCAAGTGAGCTTTTTGTTGACTGTGTCCATCTGGTAATAGAACAACATAACAAAGAAAGAAAATCAGAGATATACAAATAAAGAAGTGAGAATGAAGAATACTCACATCTTTACTTGACTTTTTCATATAAGTGTCACCCAACAAGTAGGCACTCTTGCAGTCTTGATAGACGGTAGGTTCATCTTCTTGTTCCTTATCTTCTTCCTCCAAATCTGAATCTGATACAACACTTGATTTAGGCCATTGCTATTTGCAGCCCACAAGAGAACCATGTAGGCGCTGCCAAAACAGCGCCTACATGGATGTTTCCCACAAAAAAGCGCCTACATTTATGATGTAGGCGCTGAAAACCATCTAAAATGACGCCTACATGATAAACAACCCATGTAGGCGTCATTTGGTTACGCCTACATTCAAAATTTCAGAATGTAGGCGTAATTTTCAAGCACCTACATATCTAATTTGAAATGTAGGCGCTATTTTTGAGCGCCTACATTCAATTTTCAGCTCAAATAAGCGCCTACATGCAGTCTTGCATATGTAGGCGCTCCAAATCCAACACCTACAACTCCAGACTGGTCTGACGGCTAATGAAGAAGAAGTTTCAAGTTAAAATGAGAGTATTGGAAGACAGAAAAAGCAGTTCGGAGTTGAAATGAGTGTATCGGAAGATGGAAAAAGCAGCTTGGAGTTGAAATGAGTGTTTTGGAAGACGGAAAAAGCAGTTAAGCATATTGGAAGATGAATATGCTCTTTTCAACTCTGAAGTGAGTGTATCAGAAGACATAAATAGCAGTTCAGAGTTGAAATAATCTACTTCTTTTTCCGCTTCTGATACACTCATTTTGACTCCAAACTGAGTTCAGAGTTGAAATAATTTACTACTTTTTCCGTCTTCTGATACACTCATTTTGACTCCGGAGTTACTTTTCTGTCTTCCGATACACTGATTTCAACTCCAAACTGCTTTATCCGTCTTCCAATACACTCATTTTGAGTCCAAACTGCTTTTTCCGTCTTCCAATACTCTCATTTTGACTTGAAAGTTGTTCTTCATTACCCTTCAGACCAGTCTGGAGTTGTAGTTGCCGGATTTGTAGCGCCTACATATGCAGGACTGCATGTAGGCGCTTATTTGAGCTGAAAATTGAATGTAGGCGCTCAAAAATAGCGCCTACATTTCAAATTAGATATGTAGGTGCTTGAAAATTATGCCTACATTTCATTTTTTGAATGTAGGCGTAACCAAATGACGCCTACATGGGTTTTTTGACATGTAGGCGTCATTTTGGATGGTTTCCAGCGCCTACATCATAAATGTAGGCGCTTCTTCGTGGGAAACACCCATGTAGGCGTAATTTGGCCAGCGCCTACATGGTTTTCTTGTGGGCTGCAAATAGCAACGGCCTTGATTTATTGCTAAAGGCTTCTTCATCGGCTTGGCTATCAATTTCATTGTCTTCAGAATCCAGCTCAGCATTTTCAGTGCCTTCTTCCAACCCATTGTCCTCTTCAATCACTTCTAACACTCCAACTGGAGGAAATCGACCAAGTGCAGCATGTCGAATTCGCAGCGGCTTCATGCCAAGCGCGTTGAGCCCAGCTTTTACAATCAAACCCATCTTATGACAAAAGCATTGTACTGACTGAGACTTTGATTTCCATTCAAATTTGAACCCGGTTTTCAGACCCTTGTCCTGGAGCTTCCGTTGTCACCGGCAAGCATGTGAAATTCAAAAGCGTGTCAGCAAATGGAATGGATCAAATATGAGAAAAAGAATGATAAATTAAAGCAAAAAGATTTCAAACTCATCTTTTTATATAAATTGTTCTTTTTCAAGACAGTCACCAAGGGCTCTGCAAGTAGATGACCCTTATGATGCCATGCAACTAGTTTGAAAGTTGAGTGTCGCACTACATAAGTCCAGTCGCTCTGGATGTAGGACACAGAGGCACTGATAAATCCATGGAGATTCCCCTTCACGGTCCAAACGTCCTGGATTAGACAGAACTTTCTGTCTAGCTCCTGCAAACAAGTAAAAAAAAAGAGAAAGAAGTATGTTAGCATCAATCAACATGTACGAGAGTAGTTTGAGAATTTGAAATATAAAATATATGCATTCCTTGAGCTCTTTCTTGATGACTAGATATCTGAGTGAGAGATATAGCCTTTTAGCCTCCTCTGCTGACCACTTTCGACCAAATACTCGGGCATCCGGACAGAGCCAATACATGATTGACTTGAGCAATGGATCTTCAATCCTTTTGAATGGTAAAGCCTGGGCCACTTGCCACACGGCCAGGCACTGGTTCAACGTATTGTTTGAAAACTTAGGCGCTTGAGTTATGAAAGCTGCTAGAGAGTTTTGATGATTTTGCTGAAGATGTTGTTGACGTAATTTGGTTTCGGTGGGTGGTAGCTTGGCCCCAGCGGCAATTGCCCGATTACGACAAGTACACCCAGCGCCAGACTTCCCGCTCTGTTTCGATCCATCGCGA